CTGGGGAGGTCACACCTGCCTAAGCAGGCAGGGTCACGAGAGAGGGCGCTGGGGAGGCACGGTGGGGCCAGGCCCAGAGGCTGGAGCCCCTTCCCCGAGCTACGGTGGCCGGGTGCTGAGGCCTGCCCCCCTCACCCAGGGGCAGCCTTCTTGTGCTACACCTGTGAGGAGCCCATGGTTATCTCCTCGTGCAGGAACATCACCTTCTGCAAGTCCGACGTGACAGCTTGCAAGACCACCGTGGTGACCACAGAGTCGGGTGAGGCTGGGTCCCCAGCAGGGGCAGGGGCAACCCAAACGCCTCCCTCTCCCTCCATGGGCCGGAGACTCCACCTGTATGGCCCTCTCCAAACCCTTCCCAGGAGAACACCGGCCCTGGGAGGTGGGGGGGCGGGCAGGAAAGGCAGCTACGGAGGGGCAGCCCTCGGGCACCCTGTCCTGGGATACCAGGCTCTGGGGGCAGCACAGGCAGAGGAGCAGGACCCCGTTGGGACCCCACCCCTGGCTCTGCCTCAGCCTCCAGGCTCCCCTCTCAGGCTGCGCCGAAGCTCCATACGGTGGCGCTATCCTCACTGAATACCTCACAGTTGGGTGACGGGGAGTGGGGGGGCAGGGTGACCTCCCACGTCTGGGCCTTTAGGGGTGGGGCAGGCAGGGCTGACGGGGCAGGAGCTGCAAGGCCAAGGGGGAGGGAACAGTGGGAGAGGGGCGGGGCAGCGCTGGGTGGGGGCTCTGATGTGGCTGCCCCCCACAGAGTTCCCTTCAACGGGAGCCCCGTGGTGACCCGCTCCTGCGCCACCTCCTGTGCGGCCACCGACCCCGACAGCATTGGAGTGATTCGCCCCACCTACTGCTGCTTCCACAACCTCTGCAACAACCAGAGGTAGGCCAGGCCCGGTGCCCTGGCCATGCTGAGGACCACGCTCCTGGGACGTCATCTTTCCTGACAGGGCCTCTGGTCACACATGGGACAGGAGGCAAGAGGGGGCACTCTCTGCCCCACATACCCCAAACTTCTAGACAATAAAGACGCAACGGTGTGGACGCCCTTTCCTTCCCGGGCGCCTCCAGAGGAGCTGGACTGAGTCTACTTGAGCCTCCCTGCCACCCCGGCCTCTAGGGACCGTTCCACAAGTGCAGAGACAGGCCTAGGGGGGAGTGTGCCCTGGGTCGCCCTTGCCCCGGCAAACCAGGCCCCCTTCCTTAGTCCGGGGAAAACCTGTCCCCCAGTCTCCCCTCAAACCCTGGAGGCGTCACCCCAGCCACCCCGGCTGGGAAGGAAGCTTGGAGCAAATCCAGCTCCTTCGAGGGTGGGTGTGTTTGGCTTTGCCCCCCACCCCAGGTCTTCTCAGGTGCTTGCGATGGGGTGTCTGTGGGTGTCCATGCACGTTCACAGCCAGGCCCCACCCTGACAAGGGTCTTGCCATGTCCTCGCCCCTTGAGACAGACAGCTGGGACTAGATGAGCTTGTGCCCACGGGACACCCAGGCTGTGCCAGCTTGGGGCAGGCTTTACCTGTGGGAGACTCAGGCAGCTCAGCCCCTGGGGCTGGCTCTGTCTGCCGGAGGCATCTGCTGACCCTCCACCCCCAGGAGCCCAGAGTCCTGAGGGTACAGGAGACCCGGCCTTCAGGCTCCTGCTTCACCCTCGGTACCCAATACCCCCCGCCCGCCCCCAGCAGCACATCAGGGGCAGCTGAGGGCAACAGCCGCAGAAAGTGCCCTGCTGTGGGACGCTGGTGGGAACTCCCTGGGGGCCAAGCACTTTCTGGGTTCTGCCCAGCGAGGTCTTGGGTTCTAAGGCCCCTTGGGCAACCCCGGCCCATGACCCTGGGTCCTGCTGCCCCTGCAGCTCCCGGGCGGGAGCGGGAAAAAGCAAGCAGGGACCGGAGGGGCACAGGGGGAGTGACGAGCCCCTCAGAACCCCAGGAGAGCTCACCCCTGCCTGTGAAGGGCACGGAGGTCAGGGCCCCCCACCTCCACCCCCCACACACCTGAGAGCCATCCCAGAAACACCAGGGAATGAAGGTCCTGGCAGCAGCCCTCGGCCAGGACTGCTGAGGGAGCCTATGGGAACACTCTGCCTGCAGCTCTCCCATTGGAGCCCCCACTGAGTCCCGCCAGGGCCTCACCCTCCCTGGGGACTGGCCTCAGCTTTACCAGCAGAGCACAGATGAAGGTCCCCGGCTCTTCCTAGGTGCAGATGGGGGGTGGGTGTGGGCTCCTGCAGGGCTCCCCGCCCATGCAGCATCATGTGGCCAGGAGAGGGCGTCCAGCGTGGCAAGGACTCCCGACCCCCCACAGCCAGCTGGAGCCGGAGCCCACATTCCTGGTCCTTGCACCCAGGGTCTCCGCAGGGAGAGCAGGGCTGCCACAGCCCCCTCCCTGCCCAAACCTCCACTGTGAGCCCTGCCAGCCGCCCCGGGGAGGCAGCGGGGAGGCAGCAGGGAGGCCGGGAAGCCTGCTGGGGACTGAATGGCGTTGGAAATGCCTGCTGCCGCTTTGAGCTGGGAGAGGTCTCAGGTGGGGACATGGGGGGGTCAAAAACGAAGGGCAAGGGAGACAGTGAACTGCTGTCCAACCCGGCCCTCCCCAGGGCTGCCTGGCGGGCAAAGCAGCGAGTGACACTTTAAGTGGGCGCGGACGGGCCAGTGAAGAACCACCGCCACCACCCCTCCCTGCACCCCGAGAGCAGGGGCCTCCCCAAGGGAAGGCTGCGTGGGGAGCAGCATCCTGGCCTGGGACACGCCAGCCCCCAGGTCAGGCACTCCCTGCTTAAGCCTCAGGTTCTACATCCACGAGGTGGGCGACTGTCCAGGTGCTCCAAGAAGCTCTAGGGCTAGGTGCCAGGTGGAATGCGAGGAGCACAGAGCCTCAGCCAGCAGGGCTTCAGAGGAGGGACCCGCATCTCTGGGCCCTGAGGGGAATGTGGGGCGGCCAGTGGTAGTCTGAGGCAGAGGCTGGGAGGCCCTCCAGCGGGGAACCAATGGGTGGCAGCTCTACCCCCTTGTGGCTGAGAGACATCAGGCAGCTGCATGCACCCACCAAAGCACCCCCCAGGTGCTCCTGGCCCAGCACCCCCAGGGCACAATGCCCCCCTCCCTCAGGAAGACCTTCCCACGCCCTTGCTTCCCACCTCAGATGGTCCCCTCCACCTGGGTATCCTCTGGGATTCCTGCCTCGCCAGCAGAAATCTGTCTCTGAGATCCTTCTCTCCGAGCCTGGCCCACCCAGGACAAGAACCCCTGCCTGAGTCTGGCCTGCACTGCCTCCCCGCTGGGGATGCCCCTTGGGCTGCTGAGTGGTCATGGACCTTTAACTCCCCAACAGTGGCCAACCCGGGGACAAGCTAGTCCCACCAGACCCAGGCAGCCAATCTGGCTCTGAGGCTCTGGATCCCAAGGAGCAGAGCCAGAAGCCTGGGAGGTTGTCCCTGGGGGGAGTGCAGGGCTCAGGACTCGGGGAGGGGCCTGGGTCTGGGGCCGGCACAGGGGCTTGGACACCACCTCTGGCCTCAACCCCTGCCCTGCCAGCCAGGCCCCCATGCCAGAAGACGCACCCGTGACGCCTTCCTGGCGCGAAACAGCCCTGCCCAGGGCCAGGGTTCCTGTAATGAGGCCCTCCTCAGCACACTCACATTTAAAATCCTTTAATTTTGCACTTTCTTTAAATAAATAAAGACCGCAGCTCCCCGTGGCGGGTGTAAGGCAAAAACAACAGCTCAGGAGCAGGCGCGTGTGGCAATGCGGCTCTGGCTCGGGACCAGCTTTGCGGACCCCGAGGGGCAGCAGGGAGGCAGCTCCGGGTGGCCAGGGGTCTGGCCTGCCTGGGGGCTGGTGGGGGGGGTGGGGCCCTAAGAGGGCTGCCTAGAGCCCTTCGGTGTGTGGAACAGACTTCGACCCAGAGTCAGGAGGGTGGTGGGGGGGGGGGGGGGGCGGTGGACATACGGCCCTGAGCAGCCGCACATACACAGGCATGCAGCGACCCTACCTCCAGGACCCCCCAAACCTTGGTGACCTCAGTGCCCCCTCCTGGGAGCTGAGGACATCAGGCAGCACGCTGGGCTGGGGCCCTGCCCCGCTCTGCCCCAGTGCTTATTCTCTCCAGGCCCCATTCCCTAGCTGTCAGTGAGGGATCAGGCAGGAGCAGGTGGACCCAAAACCTGGTCTCACTACCGGCAGGCGAGAGCAGCTGCCAGGGCAGGGCATGGAGGCAAGACGGGGGGCCCAGAAGACCCTGTCCCAACCCTGGCCAGCCCGAGGGAAAGCCCTTCAGAGCAGGGAGAAGCAGGGGACCGCAGGGTGGGGTGCTGGGCAGGGGAGGAGAGATGGCAGAAGGGCAGCTGGGCCCAGGAGGGCAGGGTCCAGCACGGGGTCCCACAGCATGGTGATGGGGCAGGGCCCAGGGTGGGGCTCCTCAGCCACCTCTGCAGGAGTGCTGTCCCCAGGTGGCCTGCCACCATCCCCAGCACCCCTCCAGGCTACCCACCCTGTCCTCCTGGGAGTGTGGCTACAGCAGAGGAGCCAGTGCAGGGGGCATACACCCTGGGGGTGCTCGCCAGTCCCCTCTCTGTATGCCCTTCCATCTGCCTGCCCTAGGCCCGCCTGGCCTCCAGACTCCACCCTGGGCTCACTCCCCACCCCCCACCCCGAAGAAATGCCGCTCAGGAGCTCCCACTGTCCCCAGATCAGGTCAAAAGCCCCTGGCCAGGCCCCCAAGACTGCCCGGGTCCTACCCCTGCCACACCCCCTCACGGCCATGGGGCACCTGCCCTCAAGGCTGGTACTGTCCCTCCCCACCTGGGCTTCCCTGGCCCTCACCGAGGGCTCTGGGCCTCCTGATTTGCCAGTCCTCTCCACCCTGGGCTGAGCTGGTCAGGGTGCACGAGCAACCCTCACCCCTGCCCAGTGTGGAGCCTGGAACAGAGTGGTGTCGGAAACCCAGGGCCACATGGGCACAGGATCCAGGCTGGGCTGAGCAGGCAGGGCGTGGAGGCAGCGGTCACTCATCTTTGGCAGCGATGCTGAGCCCACTCTCGGCACGGAGCAGCTGGCTGCTGGCCTCGTTGTAGGCGATCCAGTGCTGCACGTCTTCCGGCAGCTCCGGGGGCTCCACCTGTCAGGGTAGGTGAGGCTCCTGGAATCACCCGCTGCTGTGGATGGAGCAGGGGTCCCTTCACGCTCCTGGACTTCCTCCCATCAGAACTTACTATCCCTGATTCAGCCCCTTTCAGGCCTGCCCCCCGCACTGGGTCAGCCTGACCGCTCAGTTCCGGGAGCCCCGGGATGTGGCACTGGCTGGAGGGACGGGGTGAAGAAGGGACAACGGGAGACCCCGAGGAATGGGGGAGGTGTGGGCCTGAGGCCTGGGGGCAGGACAGCGCTGGACAGCGGCCAGCTGTGAGACCTCGGAGCACAGTCCACATGTGCGCCGAGAGGGGCTGGATGGTACCTCCTGATTAGCTCTGGGCTTGACCACCCCGCTCTCACTCTCCTCCCACAGACTCAGCACCATCTTGTGACGGGTAACAGGCGGGACTCCGGGCCAGACCAAGGGAGGCGGAGAAGGGAGAGGCCACGCAGATGCCCACACATACAGGCATCAGGGAGGCTGGGGGCAGGGAGAGTGGCCCCCGAAGCTGGGGCCCTCCCTGCAGGACCCTGCTGGGGACCCTCCCTGGCCCAGGGCGGCCCCTGGCCACCATCTGACCCTCCCACTGAGGCGCCATCAAGGTGTGCGGTTCCACCCACTGACACCTGTCCTGCCCCTCCCCCAAGCACTGAGTGCACCAGCCAGCCCAGGCCCGACCACCCCAGACCACCCCAGGCCTCCCTCGCGGAAAAGCCCGTCCGGCTTCCCCTCCTCCTCCACCTTCAAGTCCCGGCTGTCGGGAGTTGGTGGCTCCTCCCCGGACCCCTACCACAGGAAGTGACCTGCAGAGCCCGGCATCCTCCCTTGTGGGTGGGGGGGAGATCCAGGCCCTTTCAGGGGGTCCCAGAGTCAACAGACACAGGAAACCCGAGGCCGTGCCTGCGATCTGCTGTGCAGCCTGGGGCAGGTCCTACCGTCTGAAATGGGGGGAAGGCTGGCCCCTCGACACCGAGGTGAGGCTGTATCACTTGCTAAGGCAGCCCTGTCCAAGCCAGATAGGGCAGTGCCCTGGCTGTTGGCACCCCAAAGGTCGGGCGGGCCCTAGCGGCCGGTATGAGGGCTCTGGTGACTTCTCAGGGGCTTACCTGCACAGATGTCTGCCCTGGTAACCATCACCTCGGTGCCCTGGCCTCCCCAAGGCCCGACTGCCATGCCTCAGGAGCCAGCTCCACCGTGCTGGGAGGAGCAGGCCGTGGGGAGGGCATAAGCCCCAGGCAGGCACTCGCCTCTCCACTGGAGAAAGGCAGAAAGGCTGACAGCTTCCCGGCCTAAACCCCCAACTCGAGTAATGGGAATGCAGCCTCTGGCTCTGTGCCATGTGAAAGGGGCCTCAGGTCCTTGAGAATGCAAACTAGCCTTTCACTGCGCCCTCCCGCCCGCCAGTCCCATGTTCAGGAGCACGGATAAGAGAGGCCGACTCAGCGCTCCAGGACACAGCAGCACCAAGCCCTGCCTTCCAAGGAGTGGCCTGGACCGGCTTTTCAGTTTTGGAGGAAGGGAAGGAAGCAGGGAGTGGCAAGGAGATATGCGGGGCCAGGCTAAGTGACAGGAGGGGAGGCTGCTAGGGCAGACTATGAGGAGTTGATTGGAGGACCCAAAGAACTCGCAGGGGTAAAGGCAGAGAGGAGGCCTGGGTCCAGAGGCAAGGACGGGGGCAGTATCAGGCGGGAGGGGCTTTCCCAGGGGCGAGGGGCGTGCACGGAGCCGGGGTGACTCACCCTGCGCTTGCAGAGGTGCTGCACGACGCGCTCAGGTGAAGTGCCCAGCACGTGCTGGCGGGAGCGCACCTGAGCGCACACGAAGCCGTCGCGCAGGCTGACGAAGCGTGCCTCCAGGTAGAAGGCGCGGTCGTCCCAGCCCAGCAGGCGAGTGCGCACCTCGAAGGGCTCGAGCAGGCGCAGCGAGCGGCGGTAGCGCGCGCACGAGGCAGCCAGCACGGCGCGCGCCCCGAGCGCGCGCAGCGCCCCGAGCACGCCGCAGCGGGTCAGGTGCGCGGCGCCCGCCACGTCGGCTTCACGCAGGTACCGCGCATTGTTCATGTGCAGCAGCAGGTCCAGGTCGGAGGGCAGCACGCGGCCTGGAAAGCTCTGCTCCGCCAGCAGGTCGCGGACGGGCGGCCTCAGGCGCGCGCGCAGCACGGCGCACGGCACGCGCACCAGGTACCAGCCATCTAGCAGCGCGAAGTAGGCGAGCGCCAGGGCCAGCGGCGCCACCAGCAGCCACAGCATCGCGGCGGCGGCGGGCGCGGGGC